CATTTAAACATGCCCAAAATTTAAGTGTTGCTACGGTACACCTTCTACCTCTAAGACATGATGCAAATCTTAGCCATTGAGAACTAAAGGAAACTCTATTAACCCGGCTCGTCCCGGTCATATGGCACAAGGTAGGCTTCCTAAAATCATGGGAGTTTCCAAACTGCATGCAAACGGTATGCATGCATCGTTATCGGGAAACCTGGAGAAAAAGGAGATTACAATTACAAAAGGCTCTCTCCATTACACTAACATTTTGCTTGGCCCTCATACAAACCAACCCAAGCTCTGTTTTGATGAACCGTTTGGCAAAAATAACTTTGTATGATAGATAAAAATAATAAAACGATCATATATAATTGTAACACCTCTGGTGTTTTGACCTAGCACTAAAATTTGACATGTCATCATATGCATTGCAAAGCATTCATGGAGTAGAAAATTTTGAATGCATTCACTAAATAAGCTTTATTTCATAATGTTGTTATTTCATGTGATGTGTTTCAAAACCCTAAATAAAGATCATGACCACAAGGGTCAAATTTCATGTGATCATGTGAGGCCATGTGTCTTTTGACTCAAATAACCCTAATGGACCATGTTACTGGTCAAAAATCAAAGTTAAAGTAAAAGAAAGACAAATCAAATTTGAATTCAAATTCAAATTATAAAAGTCCTTTTTGCCCCTTTTGACTAATTCAAAATCCATGTGGAATTTGGGGTTGAGGCAAAAAGCAAAGTTGAAGATTATATTATGTGGATCAACTTTGGTATTCAAAGTTTTTCAAGTTTACATATAAAATTTGGAGTAATTTTGAAATGATTCAAATACTCAAATGCACCCCAAATTCAAATTTCAAAATGGAGGCAGAATTTGAAAATGTTCCTTGAAGCAAAGTTTTAGAGTTTAAAAAGTTGAGCAACTTTTATTTTTGGAGATTTTCAACTTCTTTAGAAAATTTGGGAGTAATTTGAAAAATAGACTCAGTGGCAGTTCTGTAAATAATTCAAAAATCAAGATTTACATCACCACTTACCGCCGGCGCCACGCCACTGCCGCCGCCGAGCGTTTTGCGCCGCTTCCTCGCTACCACAGCACGTCATCATCGCCAGGCATCTTCTGTAGTGTCTTTGTCGAGCAGACGAGTTCCTCTCCTCCTTTCACCGCCTCGTTTCATGAAGCGATGACCTCATCTGCGCTCATGAAATTCACCGCCGTCGTAGCATCCTAAGTCGAGAGCATCCGCTAGTAGCTCCGCCTCGTCTTTCTGCTCCTCCCAAGCTGATCGTGTCGCCTCGAAGTCCAGCGCCACCAGCGGCGACGTCGTCTTCCTCGGGGCGGCCGAAGCTCGCCACCATCAACCTCACTGTGTGGCGGTGTCATTCCAGAGCATCTCCGTCTTCACCGAGCACATCAACATGTTGGTGGTGAGTCCTCGATCGTGTTAATCCTTCGCTTTAGACGCTACTTGTTGTAGTTGGTGTTCCACCGCACACCGCCGCGAGTTCACCGCCAGAGCCGCCATGGCCGGCGAGATACCTTCTCCGGTGTGCCCGCGACTGGTATGAGTGTCAAGATAGGTCCGCCGTGTAATGTTGATCGTGTTGATGCCAACCGTATCGCCGGAGCACTCGCCGACGGTGCGAATTGGTCGGTCGGAGTCGGGCAGAGCCGCCGAGCTCGCGTTTGAGTCACTGACGGGTGGGGCCGACCTGACAGCGACAGAGAGAGAGAACAGAGAGTTTTTCTAATTTCTGATTTTTGAATAGTGCAACAATTTTTCAATTTTGTAGGAATTTATTTACACATCCAAAAATTCTGAAAAATTTTGTGTAGCTTCTGTACATGCTCTAGTATGGTTTAAAAATTTGAAACTTGAAATTTGAATAAATTTTTAATGTTCAAATATTCAGTCCATTAATTAATAAATGCAATTTCCATGATTTTTGTAGGCCACTGTATAGCTCCAAAAATTATGAAATTTATTTTGGTATACTAATTTGTTATGAGGAAGCTTACATAAAATTTTGAGGTCATTTGGAACAAGTTTATTTTTGGACTTATTTCAAATTAATTAAAAATTGAATAAAAGCAACCCTAATTGTTAGGGTTAGGGTTTAATTTTTGTTTGGGTCATGTTGTGTGACCAGTAGGGTTTCAAGATCAGTTTGGTCAAGTCACATGTGTGGTTCTTGCCGGTAGAATTGCAAGTTGGTCTTGTTGGCTTGCAACTGTACCGTGAAGGAAAATCGTATTCGGGGTGTTGTTACATTTCATGTACCGTGAAAGCATCATGTTTACATTATCATCATGTTAAAGCATATGTTATCATTTCGTGTAGAACCCGAGAGTGAAACGATTCTAGTTGAGCAAGTCCTGGAAGAATCCCCGGTTGTCACGGGATTTGATAATTGTGGCACTGATCCGGAACCTAAGATCGTCAACGAAGGCAAGCCCCGGTTTATGTATTAAACCATTACCTTGTTTACTTTGAAAAGTTTATCATCTATGTTACTTATTGCATTAAGTTGATTTACTTCAAATGTTACCTACTTGATGCATTGCCTACCTTGTTGATTGTTTACCATCCTTGAAGATGATTTCATTTATAAAGGCGTAGAATTGCTTAGTATGCTTTATGGTAGGTTTTCAAAGTAAAAGTTTTGATACAATCAAAGATGGCATACTGGCCAAAGAAAGAAAGAAAGAAGATAGAATGAACTAGAGACTAGTTGGGTGGCTTATCTTGAATGTTGGGTAATGTTGCCGACTATGTCGCTTAAAGGCCACTCATTGTGGATCTTCTGAACGAGACACTTTGTAGTACTGGTCACATACTCCGGTAAGCCTACTTCGGCTAATCCGATACTAAGACGAATGCCCACGCACTGGGAGTGGTGAGATGGCGGGAGTAGCGTGTACCCTCGTGGCTTGAATGTGGCTAGATTTGAGGTGTGCTGTGCTCTCGGGTGGCGTGGAGACGGCTTAGTACGGGAGGATCCGGTAGCGAGGTTGATATATGCAAGATTAAGTTCTACATATGTCGTGTGATAAGGAATCCCCAGCTGGGACTTGAATCAATTCGAATTGCCGGTGCTCCGCGGATATGGAGACTCGATTCATTACAGAAGCAATGTAGGACTGGTGAATTACTAAAACTTGAAAAAAGGAAAGAAATGAGAAGGATTGGAACATGGGATATGAACACTTAGTTTGAGATATTGAACTAAAGTATTTAGGGGTAAAACTTGAAACTAGGATCAAGAATAGTAAGCTTTTGGCAAAGAACTTTTGAATCTTTCTACATCCTTACCTTGACCCAACACCTGCATCCCTAAGACCTTCGCCCTTTTTGGTCGGGTCAGTCTTGTTGAGTACTTTTATACTCAGGGTTTGTTAAACCTTGTTGCAGGTGAGTCGCATGCGCAGGCTTGTTTTGGTCCCTGCTGCATGTCAGTGTTTGAAGTCGATGACGATGAGAAATGATGAATGGCCTTTGGACAAGGCACTAGTTTGTGTGAAATAAATAATGTTAATGTAATATTATCCCGCTACTATGGTTGTATGACAATTATGGTTTTGTAAGTTTGAAACATCTGGTTTGTAATATCAAAACTTAAGTCTTTCGCTTTATAATCTCTGGTATGTATATTGAAAACTGTTGTAATCTGCAATGACTGTGATTGGGATCCTGTTTGGAAAAGATTCGTGGATGATTCGGGTTTTCCGAGGACACCCGATAGATCTGTTAAGTTGTTGGAAACTCGTATACGCTATCAGAGGTCTGTTGAGATATCGATAGGTGCACATGGGCCCGATTTCTTAGGAGGTTCTGCCACAATAATGCTCTTTCCCTCGGTCTCTCTTTCTTCCTCATCTCCTTCTCCACGACCTCTCTTTCTTCCCGACGCAACTGCGCCCACGAGCCTTGGCAGTCGTGCCCCGATGGCCCTTGCCCATGTGCTACTTCTTTGTGTGGTGGCAAACCATGTGGCCACGGTCATTAACAAGCTAGAAGCAAAACAAAACATGCACAACCACCATGTATTCGTCTCACATATACTCCCTATGTCAAAAATAAGTGTAGCTACGGGATTCGTACTGGTCAAACTTTTTTAAGTTTGACTATGTTTGTAAAAAATATTAGCAATATTTATATCTTCAAGTAGGTTTATTATAAAAATAGATTCAACGATCTATCTAACGATGATGATTACCACCACTGTCACATACACTACCGGAAACAGAGACTTTGCCGTGTGCCATAGGCACTCGGCAAAGACCAAAAAACACTCGGCAAAGGCTTTACCGAGTGTAACACTCGGCAAACAGCACACGACATCTACAGAGTCGGCAAATAGCTATTTGCCGAGTGTTTTTTATCGCGCACTCGGCAAATGGTTTGCCGAGTGTCAAATTTGACACTCGGCAAAAAAAAGTGGTTTGCCGAGTGTTTTTCCAAAATACACTCGGCAAAGGATTATTGTTTGCCGAGTGTTATTAGAATTACACTCGGCAAACCTATTTTCCAAAGAAAAAAATATTTTTTTTCTCAGCATACTGTTACTGTTTCCCGAGTGTTTTTTTTATATTACACTCGGCAAACCTATTTTCCAAAGAAAAAAATATTTTTTTCTCAGCATATACTACTGTTCCAGCTGACGTGCACATGCCAAGCCCTGTCTGCCAGATAATCCTCCGAAAACACAAGCAGGAGGGGCCGAAAGGGATCTAACCTCTCAAGGGAGGTTAGATACCCATCTAAAGCTCCCATTTGGCACCAAGTTTGTCGGATCCAAATGCCAATTTCTCTCATGAGCAGAGGCACCAGCTGCACCGACAGAAGCCGGGCAGAGGCAAATCAGCGAATAACAGCCTTGCTCGCCACCACGGGCACCGACAAAGACCAGAGCAATCGAGCCAGCAGCAGCCGTAGCAACAGCACCCGGTGTCGCTCCTCCGCCGCTCCTCCTCCGTTGTCATCTCCATGAAGGCCGACATGGGGGCTCGAGCTGCGGCGCGGCGGCTGCTGCTGCTCATGCTCCTTCTCCAATGGGCTGGTACAATAGCGCTGTTGACGACGTCCTTCTTCCTCGGCGACGTCTCCGCCAGTCTGCATGCAGGTGATTGCTTAATTTGCCGCGGTCGTTGCCGACAAGACAAGATCAAGAACGGGCATCACGGTGCGAAGGCAGACATTGGGACGGCAGCTTGGAGTCCGCCGCCTCCGCCATGGCCTCGTAGTAGTAGAAGTCGAAGTGCGACCTGCTGCCGGGGTACAGGTCGCTGGCGCCCTGGATGCTAAAGAGCGACTCGTTGGACGCCATGCTCCACTCAGCCTGCGACACCAACGTCCTGTGCTGAAACATGTACCGAAGTCTGGACTGCCCAGAGTCCTCACAAACATAACACATAATCTTTATATGGTAAGACACATAGTTCAGATAGCACAAATCATTTCAGTTTAATTATAATACCATGAGAGTGAATAAAATGTGTGGAACTGAAAGAAAAGGTATAGTTCAGAGAGCACAAATCATTAGCCACACTCACCTACTACAACCATTTCGTTTCTGGTTATAAAGTGCAGCAAAAGGTAACTTATCCTTAAACACACTCACCTAATACTACAATACTACTGCAATTAAGCAGCAAATTAGTGAATGTCTAGGAGCATATATACAAAAATGTAAATTACACCAACATCATCACGCCCAATTAAACAGCCCAGAGGTTGCATAAATTACAATTAAATAGTTCAAATGTACTGTAATCCATGTCCTTTCGATTATGTGCAAGGTTAAATAGATGACAGTGTAGATATGCTAAGTTCAGTACAAAGAAATACTTCAAAACAGAGAATCGATCTAGAGAACTAGCAAGGTACAGAAGCAGTTCTACTTCCGACACACATGCATCCTATTTCAAAGCTAGGAAGGATTAAACAAGTATTTAATTCCAAGCATGTATGAACCGAGCACTAGAATAATTAATTAGAGCTGCAGGCAAACATGTCACAATTACTAGATGATTGGTCGGTGAAGCACAAAAGTAACAATTGACAGTTTGAGAACTGAAACTTGTTGCTTACCTGCTCAAACTGATGAATTCACAGCAAGGTGCTTATATTGCACAAGCACTGAATCCATGTCCAGCTGCTCCTCTGAATCCAAAGCATTGCAAACCTGCCTGTGGCAAAAGAAAGAAGCCAGCCAAGTTGCCGATTGAAAATGGAATTAGCAAAAGCCTACTGCTGCTGAAAATCCAATTAATGTGAACTGCTGCTCCTGCTCTTGGTGCTGTGCGTGCACGGGTTCTGGATGAGCACCGATTGGTGCTTGGAAGCTGAGCACGGCCAACCAGAGGCGAGTGAGCTTCGGCGAGGACTGGACACTGCCGCGCCGAACTGCAGACAGAGGGATGGAGCAGGCTCGGGTCTGCACGAGCACACACAGGTTTTGACCGGTGAAGGCACCAGCGCCTGCGAGCTGCACCTGAGAATTACGAACTGGGACCGAGCGCAAGAAACAGACACGGGCGAGTGCCAAAAATTCGACGGGAACTCGACCAAAACAATACCATTCGTCCCCAAACTTTGCACAGGCAGTCACCACAGAGTAGGTAAGCTATTCCCAAGAAATCATCGCTCAATTCGTGCTCAAACTCCAGAAAATCCAGATCACGTGCGAGAACTCAAAAAATCCCCAAAAACAAAATCGTGGTGCTCAAGTGAAGGATTTGTTAGGGGATCACCCTAGCCTTGATCACACATGTCCTAGCACCAAAATCCCTCAAGAAGTTTCACCCCAATCACAACCAAATTCGACGAACCAAAAATCACTAAAAATGCCTCCGAAAATCACACAAAAATAAAAACTTCAGTTTTGGAGAGGGGAACAAGTGGTGCATGAATTTGATCCTGGGATTAGCTCAAGATGTCGGATTACAAGCCACTTCAGTTTTGGCGGCCGGGGGTAGGGGCGGCGGCGGCGGCCGGGGACGGGTGTGCCTGTGTGCGTGTGCGGCACGGGTGGGTGCGCGCGTGTGTGGCTGTGTGCGGCCGGATGCGGGGGTATACGAGTGGGGGTTTGCCGAGTGTGCAAAAACTGGCACTCGGCAAACTCCTTGTTTGCCGGGTGTCAGAAGTGAGGCACTCGGTAAATTCAGTTTCTTTTTCAGTTTTTTTTTTCTTCTTTTCTATAACATATTTTTTAAATTGCTTTTTTAAACCGAGAGTAAATTGTTTGTTTGAGGTCTTAAACAAATTCAAATCAAAAAGTGGTCAACTATAAAGTTTCATAACTTTTCGAGATCTACAATTTTTATTTAGGAAGTTTTTCCAACCGAGGTCGTTTGAAAAATTCGAATTTTAAATTTTAGAGATTCAAACGTAGTTTTGCATGATAAGATGATTTCAAATCAAAAAGTTGTCAACTACATAGTTTCATAACTTTTGGAGATCTACAATTTTTATTTAGGAAGATTTTCCATCCGAGGTCTTTTGAATAATTCAAATTTTAAAATTTTCAAATTCAAACGTCGTTTTTGCATGACAAGATGATTTCAAATCAAAATGTTGCCAACTACAAAATTTCATAACTTCTCAAGATCTACAAAGTTTATTTTGATCATTTGTTCATCCGACATAGTGGTAGTAACATTGTTCACAAATCGTATATCTCTCTCTTCTACTTTCATGAAACTAATATGAGAGATATGAGAGAGATGTAGATTTTTTGAACAACATTATTGTCACTTTATCAAATGAAGAAATGACCAAAATAAACTTTGTAGATCTTGAGAAGTTATACAACTTTGTAGTTGAATTTTTTTTTATTTGAATTCATTTAGGGCCTCAAAAATTGCTTTGAAAAAATAATTTGCCGAGGGCCAAAAAAATGCACACGGCAAAATACATCTTTACCGAGTGCCAAAACAAAGGCACTCGGCAAAATACATCTTTGCCGAGTGCCAGAAAAAAGGCACTCGGCAAAGACGCATTTTGCCGAGTGCCAAAAAATAGCACTCGGCAAAATACATCTTTGTCGAGTGTTTTTTTTTGCCGAGTGTATTTTACTTGGCACTCGGCAAAGACCGTCTTTGCCGAGTGCCCGATAAAATACACTCGGCAAAGCCTCCGGCACTCGGCAAAGTGCCGGTTTCCGGTAGTGATACTTACATGTGGCGCCCCTTATAGAATGGTTGATTAGTTAATTTTTCGGGAAAACGTTTCTCAACCAAAAAAAAATGTAGAGTGAACTATTACCACTTAAATGGTAATAGGTCATCTGTCACTGTGATCGATTTATAGTTTTTTGAGAGTACCCACTAAATTTACTTTAGTAGTGTATAGAAATGTTAAGGCGAAGCTACAATGAGAAAGAAAAGGAAATCGAACAATCCAGCTCCAACAAGGTCTCGAGATACTTTGCAATGCTCCCTTGCAATGTTCTCGGTTTTTGTTCACATCTGTAGTCTAGTGGTTACAAGAGACTCAGTAGCACCTCAGGTTTTGGGTTTAACTCCCTATGAGAGCTAATATTCTAGGATTTAATGGCGTTTTCTTTTAGTGGTAGACGATGTTCCAGTCGACAGTGAGACGAGTGTGCGTGCGTTGTGAGTGTTTGAGTTGTACTGTGTATAATCGAAAACAATTGCAATTAGGATTAGTCAGCTTTCTTTCTATATGAAGCCGACTGCGCCTTTGCAATGTTCCCTCTACCGCGACGGAGTAGCAGCCGACCTCACCCCTCCACCTCGTTGGAGAGCTGCAGCTGCAATTTAGTTGCGTCAAGGAAAGCCATTAAGGAAAAAGACAATGAAGAAATCAAGATATAATATTATGATTTTTTTTAGATTTTTCATGTATAATTTAGGGATATCAGATATATTATGCCGAGTTTTAATATAATTATCTTTCTTCGTAGAAAATAAACTAAATTGCTTGTCGGCAGACGGAATTTTCAGCGACGAAGTGAAGATTCAGACTTGCCGCTTGCGATACCTCAACTCATCAACGTTGTGGGAGCCAAGCGCAACGCAATGTGGGAGCCGAGCCCTACGCAGAGCTGAGGACTGGAAAAGTTGGGATCCGAGAACGTATGTACTGGGAACGGTGCCGAGCGGACGTGCTCTCCAAATGTTGGTGGACACGTATCAGCTTTTCCAGTTTTCCGTTTCGTTCATCTGTTCGCAATTGTTGGCGGACGTGCTCGTCCAAATGTTGTGTGTCGTTTTTGTTCACAGAGCAGCAGGCGATGAAGAATGTGGAGGCAATGCTCAAGAGAATCAGGATAAGCCCCAACTCTGAAGCAATCTATCGTGATCGATGCATGCCTTGACTTTGCTCTTTCTCCTATTCGTTATATTATATTATATTATATACCTTTTTGTTGTCGGAGACTGATTAATGTCATTGAGACTGATTCCTGGTCGACATGGTAGTTGGAACGATGGAAAAATCGTAAGAGTTGTATATGCAGTGTATTAGGTGGAAATGTAAATGTTTGCGTTAGGGACAAATGACATGCTATTGTTGATTCTCGTCAGATCTTTGGCGCCCAGACATCTAGGCCTTGTTTAGATACCCTCAAAATTCCAAGTTTTTTCACTCTCTCTCCATCACATTAATTTTTAGCCGTTTGCATGGAGCATTAAATATAGGTAAAAAAAATAACTAATTGCACAGTTTAGTTGGAAATCACGAGATGAATCTTTTGAGCTTAGTTGGTCCACGATTGGACAATATTTACCAAATAAGACGAAAGTGCTACTATTCATCGGGTTGAAAACTTTTTCAATCTAAACAAGGCCCTAGCGCAGCTCCAAATATCGGACGCTCAGCTCGAAAGGCCTGCGCACTGTCTAACGGTCGTGGGTGACGTCACTGCACCGGCCTCTCTGCCCGGTTCGCGCACGACTGCACGAGTCCTAACCTGCGGGCGCCAGTCACAACCCAACCACTAGCGCGGAGCCTAGCATGGTCTGCATGTCACAGCTCTGGGTCCTAGTCACCTGTCCCGCCTCTGGATGCGTGCCGCGGATGCATATGCTGGCCTCAAGCCCTCGCATGGTCACCCACGGCGCCGCCTCAGCAGCTGCAGGCGACTGCGGCAGGTGGGTCCCATTGCAACATGTACAACACCAGATCTACTTTTGCAACATCCAGATGAAACACCGTAATATACGTCTGAAACAGCTGAAACACTTGTAACGTACATATGAAACACTTGCAAACACCTAAAAATACTTGAAAACACATGTGTAGCAATTGCAAAATATATGCTACATCCAGATAAAACACTT